ATTCCACCCTACTGAGGGAGTTGGAAAATGACTGATTCTTGGGACCTCAGCCCTACACTCAACTTGCAGTAGAGCCTGGGATTTGCTTGCCATCCTGTCTCAGTTGTTTGGATGTACACAGAAGTTGAAGCATCACTGGTGTAGATCACCTGGGCTGGGGGGAGGTGTAGCTGACTCTGAGAGCTCCCAAAGAGTGACAAAGGCACCTGCTTCTTCTAGGAACAAATTAAAATTCCTCATGATGGAGCAAATGTGAACAATTGTGGGCCACACAATGCTCTAGAAAACCTTTAGGTTTTTAAAATGCGGAACTACATCCAACACTTTGGAAAACTGCATGTTAGGAGGTTCCTTAATAGTAAACTTTACCCTCTTGCCTTGTGGCAAGAACAAAATAATCTCCAAACTGGCAGGAGGTTCTTGGTGGAAAAGCTTGGGTGCCTCCCTTTCCATGTCTGTTGGAAGGACATGGATTCACTTGGAAGGTCAGAGCATCAAAGCTGCATGGCTCTGCAAAGGAAATGACATCAGCAGGAAGGAATGTACCTGCCTATCACTGGTACCCATCATTGATTCCTGCACAACCACGGTGCTTGGCAAAGAGCTGGACAGAAAGATTTGAAAGCTTGGGTCTATTTTGAGAGTCAATTTGGACTGCAGCTAACAGATAGCTTACTGAAAATGGAAAGAGGGGGAGTAAAGTTGATGTGGTGGGAGAGAGTTGCTGCTTTGGTGCTAATCACATGTCACTTCTCGGCAGTGATGTTCATCCACGCATCGCTGCGACTCAGGAACCTCAAGAACAAGCTGGAGAATAAAATTGAAGGGATCGGGCTGAAGAGGACACCCATGGGCATTGTTCTGGATGCCCTAGAACAGCAGGAAGAAAACATCAGCAAATTCACGGAATACATCAGCAAAGTCAAGGAGTAACTGTAGCTCACCTGGGGAGAGGGCTGCTGCAGAAATCGAGCTGCAGTTCTCCCTCGATCAGACCCAATTTCTGCTTGTGTTTTTGAAATAGGAGGTGCATGCACACCCAACCATGGATGGCAGCATGCATGTGTAGGCCCAGCTGTTACCATCTGTGACGGAGCAGAGCAAAGGCCTCAGAAACCCACACAGTCCCCTTAGCGTGTCCGAAGCTTCACGTTTGTTTATGAAAAGAAAAAATGGATCATGCCCATTTCTTGAGAGGAATAAAATTAGATTCCACAGCAACAACATTGCTATCTAGTAGGGAAAAATAAAAGTAATTGTAAGGTATCAAGGCCACAGGAGTAAGTGAAAGGCTGCTGAGGTAGATAATGCTGTGCATTTAGCCTGTTTCTAATCCCCTCCCTGACAAAAATTCCCTAGGATTGTAATGTGTGGGGCATAAACTAGTTGACTTTTTATTCTTCTTTTAAAATCACAGATGATCTCTATCACTTGGCTGCCTGTTTGCTGTGCAGTGGAAACTGGATAAACCGGTTGTTTATACTTTGTTTACAAATATAAAGACAGCTGTTTAGGAGCATATTTTGTTAAATTTTTGTAAATTTTTGAAATGCTAGTCATGTGTTTTCCCCAGCTGGTATTCGCTGCAAAGGTAATGGTTTCTTCCTTATGGAGGTTACAGCTGTGTTACCTGTATTATTCTTGACAGACTTATTAAAAAAGAAAACCACAAAAATAAATAAAATAAATGAGTTCTGTTTGTATGGCATTTTTGTTGTTGTTGTTAACAATGGAAAAAAAAATATGTCCAACAGAGTTTTAAGTATTTTTTTGTTTAATTCTTAACATTTACATATGGAAAGAAGGAAATGAATTTGCATTTTAATAGTCCCTGTGCTCAGAGAGAAAAGCAGTAGTATTTTTTTAAATCTGCAAGACATCTTTAGATGGAAAGACTTTTAAAATGAGAATCCACCAGCTTCTATCATTTGTCAGAATTTTCCCCAGTAACTATCATGACCATACACTCGTTTAGATACACATTAGAATCAGGATACCATGAGTTCATATATTCTATTATCTTCATCCCCTTATTTTTCATGAACTTGGAAATAGATAATAAAAACATTCTGCTTACCAACTGAGTGATTATTGAGGTGACGTGGAGAAGAGTTAGGTGTCCCTAATGGAGAGTTGTGAAGACAACCAAGCAGTACTTAACGAAGAAACTCTCTGTGTGTCCTAGAATAAGAAGCAATAGTACATGCTGTGCCTGGCGTTTCTTCCTTCTTAGTTTCTCAGCTAAGGTGTAACCTTCAGAATCACACATTGTTATAACATGACTTCACAGAAATGGTCTAGAATCTGTACTCTTACCCAAATGTGAAGAATAAAATTGATTGAAGTTGTGGGATTTTTTTTTTTTTGGTGAGACTTTATTGAATGCACATAGTATTAAATATCTGAAAAAACTCAGTGACAACACTCTAAGCCATGAGGAAGTACCATACAGCAAATACTATTAACATGTGTAAACACGGTTTAGCAAAACCTTGTTACTTTATTCATTTGCAACTAGAATAAAACTGAATTCCACTGGGATTCTTTCTTTAACCTGACATAGGTTATATATACATTTTACCCTCTTGCATTCTGTATGTGGTGAATGCTGTCAACTAAATGCAATGAATTTTGGAAAAAAGTTGCAATTTGGATAAAAAAGAACACATTATAACAACAAATAGCCAGTGATCTATTATGGAGTGATAATGATGGGAAAAAAAAAACCAGAAAAAATGTAGACTAGTATTAAATTTTAAAAACAAGTTAAAATCCTCCACAAAAATCTTGCGGTAGGGCAACAGACAGGAAAAGCACAACATGAGCTTCGTCTCTTGACAAAACCTGTGTATGGAGGCAGTAAGCTATGAAATTGGATCATCTTTTCTTTTGTTCATCAAGAATTAAAATCTGCTTTCACAAAAATGAGCACTTTTTCAGATTGCCGATTTTAATGCTGTGGCTGTACAAGCAAAAGCAAAAGAGCTTTTCAGAAATTCAACTACTAATATGCACTAGGCATTCAAATATGTTTACAGCACTTAGCCCTAACAGAGCTTAGCCCCTTATCTGTAGAAACTGCTAGACACTGAAAAAGTTTTATCTATTACAGCCCTTTCTTAACTATCCTGCTTTGTGTGCAAAATGTTTTATAACTGTTGGCCTCTCTAAAATTAGTTATTTGATTAAAAATTCAAAGTTTATATTTGCATACTTTAGTGCACTCTCTCTTTAAAACATAGGCCCGCCATCTTTCCTGCATGGCTTGTCCTTCCAAGTAATGCATTGCTTTCCCCACATTACATCCATTACTAGCCTGCTTGGTTTGTTATGTGCAATTTGTGATTTAAAAGAAGGCGGATGCCAGTTATTCACTTGGCCGAAGGAGAAAAAGCACCAAAGCTTATTTTCCTCATTTTCAGGGTTCACACCACTACTGTTACTAGAAATTCTCAAGGCTATGTCTCTAATGACGAGAAGGAGAATTAAGGGTGCTGAAAACTTGAAAAAACACATGTAGGAGTTGTCAGGGAAGTGTTTGTGCAGGTTATGTGACCTGGGTGGACTTGGGTAGGACCCTGATAAGCGGGGAGCGAAAGACAGTGGGTGTGTTCTATGGCAAAGTCAACAGCAGGGCATAGGGTGTCCATGATGGTGTGTTATCAAGAGAAGCGTAGATAATTGGAGGGCAATAAGATTGCATTAATTAAGGCTGGGCAATGGGAGAGTTGAAGGATTGCATGGGTTTAAATTAAATCCTGTACATAAGTATTCTTTACAAGATTTTTGAGGAGAGTAATGGAGGTGAGATTAGATTCACAAACTCAGGAAAATTATCCCTTGGCATTCTTGGGAAGTGGTTCCCGTATCCCCCAAGGATACCAAAATCCACAGATACTCAAGTCTCTCAGGCAAATTGATGGAGTATTTGCACGTAACCTATGCAACCTGTTCCCAAAACATTTAAATCCTCTCCAGATGATTTAGAATATCTAATACAATGTAAATATTCTAAAAACAGGTGTTTTACCACATTGTGTAGGGAATCACGACAAGAAGAACCATCTGTGAATGTTGAATACAAACGCAATTTGTTTTCAAATGTTGTCAGTATCCAGTAGGTTGAATCCACAGATGAGGAACCTTGAGAGGGCTGACTGTATGTGTGTACTAGTTAGTTAAAACCATGACAACCTTAAGCTTGTCAGTGACTTTATTACTAATCCAAAACAATTTTTTTTTTCTACAAAACCTGTGCTATCTCCCATTGTTCTTCTGTGTGTGGAACTCGCTGCTGGCAAGTTTCACCCACCCCAAGGCCTTACTTTTCCCACTGCTTTCTCTTTTGTCTTCTCTGCATCCTCCAGCTTGTTCTGCTTCTCAAGGACTCTCCAGTCGGGTTGGAAGAATGCCCCGGAACACCAGAGGAGTAACAGGAGGTGAAAGCAAGGCAAGGGTGGAAACTGGACAGCACTGATAGTCCCAAGAAGAACTAATTAACCATTTGAGAGCATCAAAGGGTCTGCAGCTCATGTCACCCTTCACATTTCCACAGTGCGAAACATGATTTGTTCCCTTTATGACTCTGAGTGATCAATCTCACTCAATGCAGGAGACAGAAAGAGAAAAATAATGGGAGTAGAATAGTTAATACTTCTATCGCATTTGCTGTAAATTAACCAGAAGAAAGTAGTGGTAAAAGCAAAGACCAAAACAATGTTCGGGAACTTCTATTTCTAGAAGGGTAACCGAATGTCCCCTAAATCATTCAGATTGACTGGAACTACAGAATGTTGCCCTGAATTTTATTTTGCCTCCTCTCCCCCCTTCCTTTCAGCCCCTATTTTGCCATGGCTCAATCACGCTCTCCTTTACAGATAACCCATCAGATGTTAATCAGCATTGTTCCCGGTTCTGCCACCTGTATCCAAAAGTCTCCAGGCTCTGATTCAAGAGTCATCACGCCAAATTCTTGTTCTTCTAGATGACCTGATTGCTCCTTAGGCCAGTTCTTTAGGTAACTGCACCTGTGGTGGAAACATTCAAACAAAAGTAAGAAAGTTGATTCTGTAAATTTACAGCAAAAAGTGCCAAAATGTACTTGTTTCAAAGGATGTAGAAAGAGTTCAGAATTCTGGCCAGAAAACCTCCCAGATAATATCAACCACCATTTATGGAGTCCATTCCCCACATAGCCACAGCAGTGAGGGCTGGGCTAAATTGGGCTGTGCTGGAATATTGTCTGAAGTCAGGAGCCCCATCCTGGGCTCCCACATGAATGGCAGGGGCCCAAGGACTTGGGTGACCTTCCCCTGTCTTCCCATGTCCATTTGGTAGGCAGTTGAATTGGAATTGGAGGACTCCATGTGCTATGTGCATGTCCCAACCAGCAACCTAACCTAGCAGGCCAAACGCCTGCACCTGTCGTCTTAGGAACATTATCTCATTGCATTCTACAACTTTGTAAGAAAGAAAATAGCTTAGAGAAGACAGTGTTTTGCCTAACATCACACAGCTAACAAATGAAATAGGAGGTATCAATCACATTTGCCCAATTTCAGTACTTACTTTTTATATATCCTATAAAAACATCACATCAAAAACTATATGTTCTTTTTAGATTGGTCTTTTCTCTTTGAAGTATACTTCTAATTTGAAGCTCAATGAAATGTAAAATATTTGGAGACCTCTCCCCAAAAAGCAAACAATAAGGGTTCCAAATGCTCTATGTGTTAGGAGCGTGACGCATGCAGCCTGTGTGGACCTGCTGGAGGACACTGGAAAGTGCAGCGGATGCTATCTCCATCTGACTGACAGCAATATTTCTCCCTCCCTTGCCCATGCTCACCTGCCAACGGGATCCAACATTTCTGTCACCTGCCAGTTCTTGCAGCCAGTTCTCTGCCCATGATCTTGGCCTGAAACATTTCCCAGATCCTGCTCACCAGCAAGGACTTTGGATGGGCTATATCCAGCCAGCCTTCAACCTGAGCCTTCCCACCCACATTGGGCTTCTGACCTTCTCTCTCTCTGATACCAGACTTTGGGAGAAAGGAAGGTTATGATTGCACCTGTGCAGAGCTCATCCATGGATAAAAGAACAACTAGCACTGCAAATTAAGGCTCTGCCTGCAATGCCACATCCTCTATGAGCTCCTACTAATGTGCCTAGGAAAGCAGTGGAAGATAGTCCAAGGGCTTGGGCACCTACACTCACATGGTAGATTTGCATTAAGTTGCTGGCTTCTGGCTTTGGTCTCAGCCACATCCACTGTGGCCATTTGGGGAGCAAGCCACAAGATTAAAAGCTATTTATTCTCCCATCCCATCTGTAACTTTGCCTTCCAAATAAATACATCTTTAAAAAATTATGCCATGTATTTAATATAAAGTAGCAATAAATAGCTAAAACAGTAAATTCTGTGATGGAGTGGGAAGAATGTTACACAATGTAACATCCTGCACCTAGGAGTATGTTGATATATTTATGGAAGGGCTGCTCGGCACTAAGATGCTGCTTGAAATGCTGGCATCCCATATTGTACTAGTTTTCAGTATGTACCACTTGAACAACAGAAATCCCACCTCTACTTCTGATCCAGCTTTTGACTAATGCACAGCCTTGGAGGCAGCAAGTGATGGCTACAGTACTTTGTTCCCTGCCATCCACACGGATTACCTAGCTGGATCTTCAGAATCCTGGCTTCTGCCTGGCCCAGTCCTGGCTACTGCAATCATTTAGGAACCCTGTGTAACCCCCTTATTCCCTTTCCCCCATCCCTCCCTTTCAAATGAACGTAAATAAAGAAGCAAACATATTTTTAAAGACATACTGACATGTTTCAAATATAGCCAAGTTAGCTCTTGGGAAAAAAGAGAATGAGCCACCAAACAATCCTTGATTAATCACTTGGAAAAGAAAATGATACAGTGAATCTACTGCTTCTTAATCCTTTTAAAATTTAACCCTTTAATACATTTGTAATACGAAATTAAAACAAAAACAACAACAACAAAAAAAAACCAACTTAGAGCAGGGGCCAGCATTGTGTCTAGAACTGTGCTGCAGCCTGGCCTGGGACTCCTCCATGTCTTATATAAACTTCACCTTTTTAGTTTGATGTATCTATCTAAAGTAGTTGAAGAATAATGACCAGAGGTAACTCTAGATGAACGGAAGCACAAGGCAAGCTGTAGGGAAAAGCCTCCACATGCTCTCCAGGCACTTCATCCACCAGGAACACCCATTCATCTTGAAGTTCCTCAATGTGACTTTTGATGCACTAGGACATTTGAGATATATTCTTTATATAGACCAAACACTCTCCAGATATGATGAGACAATTCCTGAAATCTGTTTTTTTTTTCCTGAGTTTGAAATGCTACGTTGCTTTTTCCAAGATAGACTACCCTTCCCAAGAATCACGACATTGTCAAAGCTGTGACCAACCTCTGGCTTTGGCTTTTGTAGACTCTCCTGATTAGATCTCGACAGGTAAGAAACAGGGTTAGGAAAAAAGCAGTAAAGCAGTTAATGATAACTCCAGGCTTTCAGACCAGAAAGCAGAGAAAACTTGGATAACTGGGAACCAGAGGCAACCATCAGACCTCAAAGCCAAGAGTTCACTTAGGAGAGGGATGCTAAGAAAACTCCAAGTGATTCAAAGAGAAAGAGATTTGGGATTTGGCCTTGATTGTGTGGCATTGAAATAAAGGGATAGGATTGGAAAGAAGAGTGTAAAAGAAAAAACTCTGAAGAACTTGGTTCAAGAGAAAAAAGATCTAATGAATGAAGCAAGGAGAGATCCAGAGATGAAGTAAACATTCAAGGATGATAATCCTAAATTTATCCTAACAACAACTGAAGCATCATGGCATTTTTATATGTGACATTTTCAAAAGTTTATAGAGTAAGAGGGCCTGAAGAGCCAGCCTGTTGTCCACCAGCAGTTTTCAATACCTGGTCCACAGAGAACACCTCTCTTAGAGTGAGCTGAATGGTATTTTTATGGGAGAAGTGGTATTTGAGGATTTTTTTTCAGCTTAGGTTCTGTGTCAGAAGCAGTAAAACAAAATATGAAAAAAATTTTCAATATAAACTGATTGGAATGTGCTCTGCAAAATACAAAAACGTTTACATTTATTCTGAAAGAAAATTATGAAAGGAAAATACTATTTTTTGAAAGTTTTCTTAGAATAAGTGTCTGTGTGTGCTTTGGAAAAAAATCACTGCTAAAAATCCCAGCCAAGAAAAAAAATTACAAGATGTCAAAACCTTGTAATTTTACCTCACCTGATCGGTGAAGAGCTAAGAATAATGAACATCTCTGCCTGAAACCCCAAAACTTCACCGTTATAATGTAAGCATTGCCATGTCTCATTAACCAAAACATCCCTTTCTGTAGCAATTTTATAACATCACTGCTCATGTTTCTAGTATTTTGTTGAGTCAAAGATGCATATTTTATGATGTTCCAGTAGCTCTGAAGCCAGAATGCATCTTTAACTCCATGGTGTTTTATAACAGCTGGCTCTAAGTGCAAGAATCATAGTTACTTGTGGTCTTACCACCTGCAATGAATTGTGTGTCTTGTTGGGACTCTATACAGATTTCCTGCCACTTAAAAAAACGTATTCTAAGGAATGAAAAGGTAATCTTGCAGAATATAATGAGTAGGTAAGAACTCTTTGTACATGGGGAATTCATTGTGACATAGCAGATGAAACCACCACATAAACCACCTGATTCCATAACTCATACCGGAATACTTGTTGAGTCTAGGCTGCTCCACTTCCTGTCCAGCTTCCTGCTAGTGCACGGGAAAGGCAGTGGATGATGGCCCAATTCTGGAGCCCCACATGGGAAACTTAGACGTAGTTCTGAATTCCTGGATGTTGCTGGCACTTGGGGAGTGAGCCAGTGGGTGGAAAATCTATTACTCTGCCTTTCAAATACATAGTTGTTTTCTTTTTTATGCAAAGGTATTACTTTATTATTATTATTATTATTATTATTTTGCAGAACTAATGGATAGGAGCCAGGAATTCCACCTGGGACTCCCATTTGAATGTCAGGGACTTAAGTACTTATTACACGTTCTACTCCTTCCCAGGCACATTAGCAGGAAGATGGACAGGAATTGGAGCAGTTGGGACTTACAACAGCACTCAAATGTGGTATACTGGCATGGCAAGCAGTGGCTTAACCCACTGCACTGCAGTGCCAGCTCCAGTGTTGTTATTATTTTTAAAGAATTCAATGTACTATTTTTGAACATCTGTAAGCCTAAATTCAGTTAAAAACAAAAAGACTTAAACAATCAAAATGTCTGTTGGAAGACTATGGCATACAACATGGCTTTAAAACAGAACCATATTGTGTAAGCAGCAAGGTGCCCCAACAGCAGCAGGGAGTACATGGGTGTTAGTGAAGCACTTTTTCATCAGCAGATCAGTGCCTTTTCTTACTCTTCTTGAAGCGCATTTTGCAGACCCCAACAGATGAAGTGGTGCGACACCTGCGAAAAGATGCTGATTGCAAATGAGAGCAGCACAGACCACCAGGCCCTCAGGACAGAGGAAAGCCAGTTCAAAGCAGACTCCAGCACCCACGACTGCCATTCAAAAAGCACAGCAGCGTTTACTTCGTGGCACGTTTTCATAGTTTATTCAAAAGCAAGCAAGCACGCTTGAAACTGACAGCATCCTGGAACTGATTAAAATATGAAACATGTAGTACTTAATGGAAGTGTTTTTGAGGCTAGCATCATGTAGGTACGTGAGTAGCTTTTGCTCTGAGATATGGACCCAAAGCTGAACTCTGCTGAGCAAAAAGCCAGGAGTCTTGACCTGAAATTGTTAAACACTGTGAGCAGCTAACACTAACTGTCTGACTCACTGATGTCCCTCGAAGTGTTTGTCGTACTAATGAATAAATGAATGAAACAGACTCAGCAGAAGCGAGTCTGCCCATGGCACATACCCAGAAGTCAAGGAGTTGGTTCAGGTTGAAATTTGAACTTCCTCTTCTCCTCTACATTCACAGTCTTTATAGACTTTTTTTTTTTTTTTGGAAGCTTATTCTTTTCAGAAAGGTACTTTTCAGATTTTTTTTTTTTTAATTTTGGTATTGCCACAAAGGTGGTTAGAAGATTCTTTACTGATGACTGTTTGTGGAGGAAGTCACAGAGCTCTTTCCTATCAGACACACTGTTATTCACCCGCAGTGGAGGGAGGTCCAGCTGCTGGGGGAAGAACAGGTGCGACATATCTCAACATTGTGTCCAAGGGCAGGCAAAGAACTCTTGTCTGACCTCATGTGACCTCCAAGGCTCTGATCCTGGCTCTTTCCTCAGGAACAGAGCTGTAGGTGAAAGCCATCTCTGATGGCCAAAAACTGAATACTGACGATTTTGCTTTACTTGGAGATGGAACACACACGCATCCTTCTGGAGGAAAAAAACCTCCCAGAAGTTTGTTGGAAAAAAAAAATGCAATTCAGAGTTTTCTAGATCCCCCAAATTTTTGAAATCCATGCAAAATTTTTTCATAATATGCATTCCCTCTGAACTTTTTGAAGATCTTCCTGTATTTATGGATTTCTAAATTCTTATAGCCAAGTAAGCTTTTGATCAAAAAAAAAAAAAAAAACTTTGAGATACCTGCATTTGTGTGTAAATAGCACAAAAGTTTTCAGGGAAAAAAAGAAGCTGACATGAAAATTGGTTTAACATGTCTTGTTAAATTTGTGAATCTCATATTCACTATTCTAAGGCTACTTTTAGCTAAACTTCATACATGATTTTAAAATACTGTAGTTGGTTTAGTCGCCTGTGGTCTTTGAAGGTTCACCTTTCAGCCTCTGTAAGCACCATCATAACTGAAACACATCCATTCCGAGATTTTCACTTGTTGGCAGTAATAGTCCATTGAGTCAATATTCTGACTAAAATATTTTAAAACTCCATGCATTCAGAGAGGTGCAGATCTGGAGTTTACCACTCATGTATCCACCTACAACGCGAGGAATGTAAATGCAATTGCAGTCATACTGTTCATCTATTAGATGGTTGCTAAGCATTCTTTATCTTTTGGCCTAAATTAGACCTGTTCTTACTTATTCCTCATCACAGGCTCCTAAGGGTATCCTAACTGTCAGTTCTGAGTGGCTAGAACTGTGTTGAATATGCACCTGCGGGGTTCAGAAGAGTGGGATGAATCGAGGTTTGGCCTTGGACACAGGACTGAGTTTCAATGTCAGCTCTATGGTTTCTTTGTTGTGCCTCCCAGACATGGTATGAACTTCTCTAAGCCTTCATTTTTCTTCTTTATACCACACTGACAATTATAATACCTACCTTTAGGGGACTACAGCTCTGGCCTATATAACTGCTTGATGGGTGTTAGCTGCTAATGTTACTGTTACAGACGTTGTAAAGGTGTCTGTTCTTAGGGATAAGCAGTAATTCACATCTACTGCGAACACTCACTGGTCTCCCCCAGTTAGTCACTATTGGTGAATTTCTCCATTTGCTACAATGAGCTGTGATCCGTCGTGTAGGGCGTTAGTTCACCTCTGCTCCCTCCTACTTACAGGTTTAAGGTAGGCGACATTGCTTTGGCGAATGTCGTTCAGGAGCTGATCTCGGGGAGTGATTTCTACCAGCGGCGGAGGCCTATTCCGTGGCACCGGTTTGAGGGTTTTAATCACGTCTTTGAGGTTGGTTTTCTCTGGAGCTTCTCTGGCTTCGGGCATGCGCGATTTGCGCTGGATTCTCTTGAGCTTGACCACGCGGAAGGAATCGGGATCCGTCCTCGCCTTGCCCTCCGGTGGCGGTGAGGGCTTTGTCATGGTTTCATTTCTTTGACCAAATGGCACTGCTTGGGCATTGGGAGGGCGAGCAGGAGGCTGGAGGAACTGCTGCATTCTGGGGTCTGGCATGGGTCCTCCCAACATCTCCCACATCCCGGGAGGCAGCCCCAACCCGTTCTCCAACATGGCTATCAACTTTCTCTGCTCCTTGAGCTGCTGCTGTTTCTGTTCTTCTTGTCTTTTCTGCCTCTGCTTATCCTGATTCCTGGTGAGCAGATTGGTGACCACCATCCTGGGACCCGGGAGCTCAAAATGGTAGCCCATCTTCAGGAGAGTGGTGTTGGCCTTCAATAGCCTGGATATCTCCATCTCGGCGTGATGGCCCAACATGTGCCTTTGATTATGAAAGCGAAGTTCGGTCAGCGTCTCATTGAACTGGAGACACCTCATGATGGCCACGATGCCCTTCCCTGTGATGAAGTTGGACTCGATGTTGAGAGTGGTAATGCTCCGATTTTCACGCAGCATGTTGGCCAACGCAAATGCTACGTTCTCGTCAGCGCCCACGTTGGCCAAGCTGACCGTTTTGATGTGCTTGTTTTTCTTCATTGCATTGACGAAGTCCAGTAACATTTCTTTGGGGATGTTTTCGATGTTGTTCAGGTTGAGCTCTTTCATGTCAGGATCGTTCTGTCTTACCCTCCGCAAGCTCCCATCCAGGTCTGTCTGGTTTCCTGAAGGTCTTGCGCTTACTTTCAAAAAACTGGTGTCTAGAGTTAACTTCTTGGGGTCTAATTTAGATATTTTTTTCTCACTGGTCTCCTGGGGATCGGGTCTGTCTCCCTGTTCTTCTGATGCGGTTGTAGCTACTGCTTGGCAATTGCTCTTACCATTTCTGATAGGGTCCTTTGCTTCACTTTGATCTTCTCTTTCTGTATTTGCCTCACTCTCTTCCTCACTGTCATCTCCGTCATTGTCATCATCTTCATCTTCCTCTTCATTGTCATCATCACTGCTCTCTGAATCTCTTTTACGTGCTACGATTTCACTATTGAGCTTTTCCTTTAGAAATTGGGGCACATTTTTAATACCTTTTTTAATCTCTTCATGCTTTTCTTGAGGATTTTCCTAAAAGAGAGGTTGGTGAGGGTTAGAATATGTGGCAGTCTATAGAAGTAGAGTAGTGTCTACTGGGAAAGAAACATTTCCAGTAACAACAACAATAAAAACCAGTAAGTTTTATGTATGACAGTATTCCATTCAAGAATATGTGGATGTGTATACAAATGGAGCATATGAAGGTTTACATATGTATAGGGCAAATATGTTAGAATGTTTACCAAATCTGTGGTTGTTTCTGTGGAAGGGGGATAACCACAAAACAAACAAACAAACAAAAAACTCAGAGGTGGAAAAATATTTAGAGGACATTCACTTTGGTTGTTATATAATGAATCTTGTTTTTGTTTTACAAAATACTACAAAAAATATATATATCAACAACAAACAACATATAGAGTGTATATATATATATATATCTTTAAAAATTAAAATAATTGGAGCTTATGGCAGGCTAATCCTCCTGCATCCCATATGGCCACCAGCTCAATTCCTAGCTGCTCCAGTTTTGATCTAGCTCCCTGTTTATGACCTGGAAAAACAGCAGAGGTTGGCCCAAGGATGCAAGGCCCCTGCACCCACATGGACGACCTGAAAGAAGCTCCTGGTCCCAGTTTCAGATCAGTCCAGTTCTCACTGTTGCAACCTTCTGGGTAGTGAATCACCAAACAGAAGATCTGTCTTTCCCTTTCTCTCTGCAAGTCTGACTGGCAAGTAAAATAAATTAAATCTTTTTTAAAACTAGATAATTTTAGATACCCATTTAAGCTATACTGATCTATTCAGTAAGTTAAAATGACTTAAGTTTTTTAGATCATATATATTTTTTTGGTATTCAATTCTAGAACCAGTGAAAATTGTTTTAAAACTATGTGGAGGCTGGCGCCATGGCTCAACAGGCTAATTCTCTACCCTGTGGCACAAGCATCCCATGTGGGTACTGTTTTGTGTCCCAGCTACCTTACTTCCCATTCAGCTCTCTACTTAGGATCTGGGAAAGCAGCCATGGATGGTCCAGGTCCTTGGGACCCTTTGTCTACACAGGAGATCCAGAGGCTTCTTGCTCCTAGCTTCGGATCTTCCCAGCTCTGGCCATTGTAGCCATTTGGGGAGTGGACCAGTGGATGGAGGACCTTTTCCCTAGCTCTCCTCTCTGTAAATCTGCTTTTCAAATGAAAATAAAATAAACCTTTGAAAAAACTATATTAAATTTATCAACATACTACATTTTTTCCTCTTCCTATGTTGCTCAAGATACATCTTTGTATTCAACCTTGGGACTCACATTTCTCTGTTGCCCTAAGTAAGATTTATATATGTGAAATGTCTGCTATTTAGGCTAACAAGAGCATCAGATTTCCCTGAGACCATAATGTGGAGAACATGAGAGCAGGCTGGTATTTTAGATTATTCAAGTGAATTTCAGAAAGGTTTTCTTGGCATAAAAAAAAATGGAAATCCATGAATAGGTTTTTCAAAAACGTGCAGTTTAAATGGACTTTTTGAAGACCTCATGCGTTTTAAAATTTTTATTTTTATTTTTATTTGCTTTTGTGTTTCCAGTTCTGCGGGCAGGATTACCAGTGCAACTTCTCCGAACGGAAGGGTCTGTAAGGCAAATCCAGCTATGAAATGGAACTGGATTATGCAGAGATTGAGAGAGAATTCTTTCATTTGGGGAAGAAAACGGTATTTTCTATCATTTTCATTGAGGCTTTGACGTTTGTCAACAATTTTTGTTAGATCTTTGCACATCAGTGATTATTCTCTTCTATACAGTCTTACATCTCAGGTGTCATTTGGGAAGGCATAGCAGTTTTAGGCTCAGCTTCCTGTGAGCAAAAACTCAATCTTTGATGTTCAGGATACACAGTCACCTTCACCAATGAAAGCCTGTACCCCTGCATTTCCCATCTGTCCCAGCAGGGGGGGGCCAACCATCAGGCCGTTTACACACAAGGAAGACAACTACTCGTGTTTAACTTTTGTAATTGGCTTTCCTGTACAATTGCCCTTTAATTCTCTGACCTCTCATGGTAAATGCTCCCCAAAGTGTACCTAAAACCTTAACTTAATCAAGGTAACAATTTAATTCCTAGAGCTCAGTTCATGTTTCAACTCTTCTGGCCGTGAAACAATCTAATACTATACTTTCACTGGTTTTCCTTAAACACAGGCACAATAATTTAGCAAGATATTTCTGTGTCAACAGGCAAAACTGAGAAACTTGACTTAGGGTTCTCGTCCAACTTTGTGAAGTCATTTTTTGTTTGCTTGTTTTTTGCTAAGTAAGTTTTTAGGTGGAATAGCGCAAGAATTGTGCTGATACACAGTAAGTCTTGAGAATCAAATATTTAGTTTTAAATTTTTAAAAATACAAGAAAGCTCTTTAAAACAATTTAATAGCTATCTAGTTCTAAATGCCATCAATGAGGCCCAGTACAGGATGGAGAATATTTAATATGTTTTGTTATTCAACTTGATATAATTGCTAGGTAGGTGGCCTAGACTCCAAGGAAATGATGGAATCTTGGCCATTGTATCTAAAAGCCCACATGCTATGGATGTATCAGAGAAAGAGAAAGCAGAGCATTCATTGGCCTCTCACAGGCACCACCTGCAATAAACAAACAAAACAAAACAAAGCAAAACAAAACAAAAAACAAGCAAAAATTCATATTAAGGACAACTGCTGCTGGGTCATCACAAGTCATTAAATATTGTGTCTATAAAATAAAGGTTTTCCAAAATAGCAAACTCAAAAGTCATCTTTGGCATAAGATCTTTGTAAGAAACGGCCAACTTTCTTCTTAGAGCCCTGCCATGTCAGTGTATGAGAAAACTCCACTCTGTAGCAGGATTGAACGTGACTATTTAACACTGGCGTGACAAAAACCCCGGGGTCTGGAGACACAACAGCTACAAGGCAACCACTTGTTGGCCTAGACCCCCCGTAGCCATTCCTCTACACCAACCCTTGGTTACCTCAGACTGCACGAAAGTGACCGGAACACGCTCGTCTTCCAGCATGCGCCTTGATGCCTTCTGCCAATACATATAATCAACCAGGGATTTATGGTCGAAGTTTCCAGTCGGGGGCTTGTCAGTCTGGTCCTTCTGAATCATTCCCACGGGCAGGTGGGGGTCAGGGGCCATGACCTCCATCTCTGACTGCAATTCTTTCAGTTCTTCGGGGGACAGGTTGGCCAAGATTGCGTCTTCATCAATCTCTCCATCAAGGAGTTCCTCATCTGAATTCCTGCTGGTCTCAGACATTGTTCTGCCTGTTTCTATTTGAGTAGAAAAGAAGAAATAATCAAGAGATGATTTCTTAAAATGAAAAAGATAAATCAACTTTAGAGGGTCCAACAGTTAGCAAAGGTCCCAATCAATCTACCCTGGAGATTTTTTTTTTTCCTCCAAGAAGTTCAGTGGTGTTTGCAAAGCAGCTAGGAGTGACTGCAGCTGAGCGCCTGCTGGATCTATATTAAGCAGGATTTGGCTGACGGGGGAGGCGGGGAGCAGGCCGATTTATGGAACTACTATGCTGCTCCCTTTTCGGCAACTTGAGTCAGCTGTGCAAATCCGTCTGACATTTCGGTACAGCTGCTTGCACTGGCCAGTGAGTAACTGGCCTCCAAAATGTCCCTAGGAGTCAAGTTCATTCCTTCACCATGTCCTCTCTCTCTCTCACACACTCACACACACCCCTCTCCCTGTCAATACCTACACACTCCTGGAGAGCTGCTCCTTTGTATTGAAACGACTACAGCAACTTACAACACTTCAGAGGGGAAAGCCAACCGCCCGTGGGAGATCCCGAGTAGTGAAAGTCTTCCAGGCAAGCCCTTGGGGTCTGCCACTTGCCCGCCGTGCCGCTCTGGCAGCCAGCGACACTGCACAAAGTGGAGCAGAGGTGATGCGGCTCAGACGCCGTGTAAGCTGAACCTTCTCCAGGTCTCCTCACTTGCATCTAGATCATAGGATCTAGATGAGGCTGCCCCGCACTTGAATTTCCACCGTGAGTAGGGAGTTTAGTATTTTAAATTACTGCTCTTGTAAAGTAGCCATTAAGCCAGGAAAGCTTGAAATGGATCGAAAGTGAAATTTGAGAAATTCCTCAAGTCACCACAGTGCTGGAAGAAACTTTGACAAGTTTTCTTGTTACCTCAGGGGGCAACATGGCCTGGTTTACCCAAATTATAAAGGTTTGTTTTCTTTGGATTCAGAATTCCATTTTCCAAAAACTATCCTGGTATATTCCAGCCTGGAGGGAAATGACAGACGTACAAAGTGATGCAAAGTACAAAACAGTGTACGTAATATCGGCCTGACAGGTTCAAAAGAAGACGCGTTGTAAACATAATACATCATTGGAAAGATATACAAGAAACCAAAACCCTTGAATAATTTGCAAAAGAAATACGCTGAGTGGGAGACAGGAAAAGGAACGGTACCATATACCTTCTTAGATTTTCTAAACTTGCAGCTCTGCCAAAATAATATTTATTCAGACATACACATTTATTGTATGAAAGTTAAGGTAACATAGATGGTAGAGGCCAAGAGGAAACAAAATTTGCACTTATCTCACCACTAAGTGCTATCCTATTAGCATTTTGGTTTACGTTTCCAGTCTTTTCATCTGGGTATACTCCCTCGGTCAGGGAGCTGGATAGAAACAGGGCTGTTGGGATTCCTGTAAGCTTAGTATAAAGGTTCTTCAAGAAGTTCATGAAAGGGGCCCAGCACGGTAGCCTAGTGACTAAAGTCCTTGCCTTGCATGCACCAGGATCCCATATGGGTGCTGGTTCAGGTCCCAGCAGCTCCACTTCCCATCCAGCTCCCTGCTTGTAACCTGGGAAAGCAGTTAAGGATGGCCCAAAGCCTTGTGACCCTGCACCTCCAGACCTGGAGGAAGTTCCTGGCTCTTGGTTTTGGATCGGCACAGCACTGGCCGTTATAGTCACTTGGGGAGTAAATCAGTGGATGGAAGATTTTCCTCCCTGTCTCTCCTCCTCTCTATATATCTGACTTTGTAACAATAAATAAATAAATCTTAAAAAAAAAACAATAAAAAACTATTTTGTGGGCCTGGCGCAGTGGCCTAACAGCTAAAGTCCTCGCCTTGCACGCTCCCGAATCCCATACGGACACTGGTTCTAATCCTGGCAGCTCCACTTCCCATCCAGCTCCCTGCTTGTGGCCTGGGAAAGCAGTGGAGAACAGCCCAAAGCCTTGGGACCCTGCACCCATGTGGGAGATCTGGAAGAAGCTCTGGGCTCCTGACTTCAGATTGGCAGCTCTGGCCGTTGCGCTCACTTGGGGGGTGAATCATTGGACGGAAGATCTTTCCCTCTGTCTCTCTTCCTCTTTGAATATCTGACTTTCCAATAACAATAAATAAATCTTTTTAAAAATTTATTTTTTGTCTCTACATTGAATGTGCACAAGCTTTTTTCTGGTCATTTTTCAAAACCTACATGATAAAGTGTAACTATTTATAAAGCATTCATGCTGTATTAAGAATTGTAAGCAACGCAGATTTTAAAATACTGTAGAGGATTTATGTAGATTATATACAAATACTGTGCTATTTTATAGAAGACACTTGGGCATCTATGGATTTTTGTATTTTTGAGAGATCTTGAAAACAATTCCCTGTGGAAACCAAAAGATAACTATATATATATATGACGTCTTAAAACTTGCCCCCCAAAAGGGGTAGGAATCAAATATGAGAAGTTTTAAATGGAAGTTGCAGTATTTTCTTCCCACTCCAGGTGTTCACCTCAAGGCTGGGAGGCTTTTTTCACGTGTGGTTATGTTATCCCCTGGGAAGTACGACCAGTGTACTTGAATGACAGCGGACGAACTAAAACACAAGAACACACGGGCAACCTTGCTTTGGCCTCGCACACATGAGCTCTCCCTTTAGTCCCAGTAAAGGCAAAGGAAGAGCTTGGCTGTGATGTGAGAGATGCGGCCTGTTGATGCACAGACCACCAACTCATGGACTTAGCACACAGAACAGCCATCGAGAGACACTGAGCCAGGGCAGGCATTCGATACAATTGTCGAGCTGCCGTTGAGAATGCCCACATCCCCCGTATCAGAGTGTCTAGATTCCAGCCCTTTCTCTACCCTCCAGCATCCTGCTAACATGTTCTCTGGGAGGCACCAGTATTGGCTCAAGTCTGTGGGTCCCTGCCATCCACTTGAAAGACCGCCATGGAGTTCCAGGCTCCGGTCATGACCGAGCTTACTACGAGCTGTTGTGGGCATTTGCGGAGTAAATTAGAAGCTCAAAAATCTCCATGTCTTCCAATAAAGAAAATAAGTAAAAATTAAAGAATTAGGAAGTCTTGACCAAAAGATTGTGCTCAAGGAGGCTTGAGAAATGCTACCTTCTGCATGTGTGGTTAGATCTTTGTAAAGCATATTAACTCTGAGACTTTGAGAAATCGCAAAGAAACTCATTTGTTTAACTAATGCCAACCTTACTGAACTCACTGAAATTAGTTAACTCATCCACTAATGCTATGTGTAATTACTTTTCCAAAAATTCATACTTGGGGAAATAGAGATCTAAATATAAATGAGAAAGATCTGAAGCCAGCTTGCCTGTATTCACGTCCCAGATCCACTCCTAGGTAACCACATGACACTGACTACCTGATCCACAAGAGGAGTAGAGCTAGGATTCAAACCTAACCATTTCAACACGGTTTGCAGATTTCCCAAATGGCATCTTAAACTGTTATGCCAAACAGCCAATCCTAAGCACATCCACTTCACAGAATTTTTAAAGATTTTTCTGTTTGAAAGGTAGAGAGACAGAGAGGCAGACACACAGAGTAAGTCACTGTTTTAATCCCCAAACGGCCACAAAAGTCAGATCTGGGCCAGGCCATAGGAGGTCCCCCACATAGATGAAAAAGGTTCAAGTACTTGGGATATCCCCTGCTGCTTTCTCAGGAGCATCAAAAGGATCGTGGAGCAGCCAAGACTTCAACTCCAACATGTTCATGATTCAAAAATAAATGACTTTTTCACTTTCTTCTAAAACAGTGTGTATAACACACATAGAACAATATTTAGAGCTCAACACATTTATGAGAAGTCCTGGCTGTAGGAGCGAGTACTTGTTTCTTAGATCGACACGTCCACTGGACATTCATTCAGGATACGAATTCTGTGGATAAGCCACCCCATCTCTTTCCTCATCTTCAACCACCTGGTATAAATGGACACAACTTCTAGAAATGACTTCCAACGTTACTAAATCAGTCTGTCGTGTCCTGTGTGTGGCATGCTATTCTCTTGTGCAATCTGGCTTGGATCACCAGGGCTCTGCGCACTGGCTCAGAAGGCTTGAGGGTTCGGTGGGTGTGGCATAAACGCCTAGCTGTCTCCTTCCGTCTCCCTCACCCATGGCCACATGGCCTCAGGATGAGCTGTGCAACTGATGAGGCAAGGGTTTTCTGGAGCCAAGATACCCAGCCTGTGTCGTCCTCAGAGAGGCTTGGGCTATTAGAAAATATTTGTCATTTTATCTAATTTGCTTAGGAAGCCATTCCACAATCTTTAATAGATGTGATGAACATTCTGCTATTCACAAAGGTAAGTGATATATTCTCCTGAAGAGTTTGAGAACGGTACTCCCTGGCTACCGACTCAGCTACTGTAACTGAATGCAGCTTCTCCTGACATGGCTCCTGTCTCCACTACCACTGCTGCTGGTAACTACTATTCCTGGCTCAGTTGTTACCACACCTGCTGCAGCTATCGCTAAGCTGACTACTGCGACAGTCCACCTGCCTCTATGCCGCTCACATGCATGGAGTACTTAGAATGTTCATGTCAGTTCTGTCACACAAGGCCCCTTGAAAGATGAGCAACCTCCTGTTGTATTGGAACTGAAGGCTGAAACCGAGGCCCTCAGACGGCATCCTTCGTCACTTCCTGTAAGCCCAGCAAAAAGACATTTCACATACCTAACAGCTCAGACTCATAAAGAGAGGGAAGCCTTTGATCCGCACACTGGTACAAAGAACAAAGTGGTGAAAATTGGCAAAATGTGAGGTAATACAGTCAGCACAAACAAGGCGACTACTGTCCTCAGCCACCTATTGAGCCTATTAAGGCATTGGATGAAAAAAAAAATCTTTCCTGGATCAAATCAGTCTGGAGAACGTTAGCTTCAAGGAACCTAAGGAAATTTCTTAGCCAAAAACACTTGAACATGCCAGTGCCAACTGTGAATTTCTAAATTAAGAAATTGTGTTTTTTGAACTGATGACCACAAAAATATTTTCCATAAGACATGCTATAGGATTACTGTTCCTTACAACATATTTTGTGAAATG